CCAACAACAATAACAAACGATACTATAGTGCATCAATAATCCTGCCTCTAAATACTCTTAATCTACGGAGAAAAAAGGATTAAAAAATTTGTCAAGCTAAAACAAGTGACATGTACACATTATAGACGTGTTAGCTTATTATTATAGGCTCATGTCCTAAGTCTACGGTGAAAAGAGAATTACCTTCCTTAGTCATCATAATAAAATACTGCTTTCCAAGTAAAATGTGCAAGTTTTCATAGAAACAGTCCTCCGAGCTCGGAACAGTAAGAGTCAAAAACATCATTCGATTCAATAATAATATCTTTTTCAAGCAATCGCACAAACAAACACGCACTTCCTTACCAAAATCTTAAATAATGGTTCCAAAACAAAAACAGAGTGACGTCATCGGATCAAGTAAATGTCCCATGATCCAATGAAAATCCTGTGAAGTATATCTTTCATAAACCGGGATCAGAAGTCGGTAGCGTGTGTGGAAATAAATCAAGAATACCGTTAATCTTAGTGCCGTTTGGTTTGTGGCTTTAATAGTTTTGCTGAGAATTAATCATTTTGGACCTAGAGATGTATAGTGTAGCAGCTGTATTGTTTTGTAGATTCGAAACTAGGTGTTAATGTTGAGTGTTGTGCCTGGAAACTATGAGTTGTGTTAGGGCAGTCTGACAGGTCTGTGTCTCTTCGAACAAAGTACATAGGTACATCATTTGTAATGTATCTATTCAATTAGAACTGGATACATCCCAACTCAATGAGTGCCATGATTAAACCTAATTGTAGCTATTAAAATACTACTAATCTAAATTCTACGTATTACACATATTATGCTCAGAACTTAACAATTTTCGTTACGGTCATGTAACTTCATAGAACTCACAATGTTATCAGCATATTTACTAAACTTTGGAACAAATATTTGGCTAGAATCCAAGTTGAGGAATATTAAAGAACAATTTAGTACATAATCAATCAATTAAACACCCATTGGGTACTTGTAACTTCTATGGTGTTGTGGGTGTTCATGAGTGGCGTCGATTGCTCACTATCAGATGATCCGTCAGCTCTTTTGCCAGCCTATCCCATTAAAATACAAATCACCACTTCTCTTCACTAATCACAATCACCGCTTCAGAATCGTAAACATAAAAGAAGCAACAAGTGTCATCAGTTTCGCCAATAGACATTGTTAGGTGACAATTGATGTGACGTACCGTGTCACAACAAATAGCCGGTAACCCACATGTCAGGTGTGTCAGGTGTAGCTGAGGACCTACTGCGAGTTTTTGTTAGACCGATTGTCCACATAACCGTACGTCAAACGCACGCTTTCGTCAGTTAACGATTGCATGACGAATGCTAGCATCTTGCGTCGAACAATCAGACTACGTGGTAGCAACGTTGCGTCACTCACACACAGGCTGCATGCATTCGTCAATGACGTGTAGTGGAAACAGTTTTGATTGTTTCTACGCAAGATGCAAGCATTCGTCTTGTAATTTTTAATTTTCTTAAGTATATGACGTGCGGTTACGTGGACAATGGGCTTTACGCTACGTTAATTCGATCGAAACGTTACTGTGATTAGCCTTCTGATTGGTCGGTTAATTGGAGCTGGCCAATCAGCGCCGAAGTTTAAAAACGTGTCGATTGTGTTAACGTAAAACAAAATCAAACTAGGCCCTAAGCTGTGTCAGGTAACGGAAATATGATGCCGTGGAAATGTTAACTTGTGACAATACTGTTGCTGTTTATCAATGGAGTTAACGGGTATGGTGATAACAATGTGTCGCACTGATTTGGAAAGAGAAACTAAGATAGTGAAGATTGTAGACATTAGAATAGAATAGAATATAACTTTATTGTACACCATTAATAATACAGTACATACATAAAAGGAAATGACAAATATAAATAAAAATAGAAATGGGCACAAAGGCGGTCTTAGATATCATTTATAGTGATTTCTACCAGACAACCTTTACAGACAACTTTTTTACCAGACATTGTTTTTTCATCGTTGCCTCTGTACTAGGAGTTTCTTCTGTATTGTGGGAGTGTTCCTGATGGACAGTCTGATAGATATTGATTATAAATTTTATAACTTTATTATTTTCATGTATTTCTTCACAATTTAAAAGCCGTGTTTTAAGCAACTTGGCCTTTCTTTGTCAGTGGTGTCCAAATAGTCTTACTATTTGGACTGACAAACGGTGAAGGTGAGAAAATCTGGACTAATAATTTCTATTTGTAAGTTTGAAATCGCTAACCCGCAATGAACAAGCGTGGTGATTAACGCTCAAACCTTCTCAGTGTGAGAAGAGGCCTTGCTCAGAGTGGGCACTTATAGACTGTTGATGTACACATACATAAACCTAACAGTTTGTTGTTAACACAAGAATATACTCTGAAAAACAAAACCCGCATTGCATTCACTAATTCATTTCACACTGACACTCAATTTCGTTATGAAATTAAATTCTAACAAAACACCGGATGACCATCAGACTATCAACTAACTATTCAATTATGTACTGACAGCAAAAACATAATTTTCCGTCCTCCAAACTAGTTCTGGATATTAAACATCAAAACCTCACGCTCAATTTGCATCGATTTCCGTCCGACCGTGATGTTTTTGCTGACCATCCGCCGGCCATTGTATCGATAAAATCATCGAATCGGTCATTCGATTCGGAGATTACAAACGCAACAATCGTAATGTTATAAAACATGTTACGGATGACAACGTTAGCTGGAATCGGATTGTTAATATCATATCGATTTTATTTTCGACTAATCAAATATTTCCTTCTAGGTCAAATCCTAATCTCAAGAATGTCGGGAGGTATATCTTAATTATTTTCTTTGAAACTTAGTAGTTTTGTTTATGGAGTGATAAACATTATATAACATCAACAGCGTTTTCAGGGTTTACTGGGCCAGTTCACTTTCTTTTTCTTCATCCAAAAGTCAAAAGTCAAAATTATTTATTTCAATTAGACCAGAAAGGCGCTTTTTATTGTCAAAAAAATATCGTCCAATCGTAGCTACAGCTTAAAGTTAAATTATTATGGAGATATATTAAAAATAATATCCGCCGTCAATTAATGATGAAGTGCCTTTAAACCTAATGTCTAATATCTGTAAATATTCAATTAGTAGAAATGTCAAAATTTAATTTTGATACTAATTCAAATCATCACAAAAAGTATTTTAAATTATTGATCTAATTCTCAAATTAATCTCTTAACCAAGGATTTTAATAAGGAAATGTTTTTATAATGAAAAATGATTATATAGTGATATTAATTACTGCTAATAATTCATTATTATTGATGTCCTACAGCCAAATTTAACCATTATCATCATCATCATTAACAGTTGAAAGACGATATCTGCTGGAAAAAGGCCTCACCACTTGCATCCACTGGCTCCCCACAACTCTGGCTAAAATTAATGACTCATCTCAATTCAAAATGTTTGGATAAAGATCAATTTATGACGTTGAGTTACTGACGTTCTGGACAAAATGTTTAGACCACTGACGTCCCAATTATTGTTTTCAAAAACAATTTTTTATATTAATTTTAATTGATTACAATCTCATTCGCCATTTTATTGTCTGATGGTGTTTTTGGCATCTTAAACCGTTTCCACTGCTTCTTTCTATGTAGCCCCGTAATCTGTGTATGACCGTAATAGTTTTATTATCTGCAAACGTTACAATGAAGCAGTTTTGTATTGCTGGAGTGTCACAAGTGTATAAGAAGTACAAACCCGGACCGAGCACACTACCTTGCGGCACACCAACTTTTATTTTTTTAATTAGAGTATCTATTTTTTTGTTTTACTCTAATCTGACGATGGAATAGGTCTAGACTCTAGAATATCTGCAAAAATGGCACTGGAAGCATGTTTTTCAGTTTATACGTGAGTTCTTATATCACATACTTTATCAAAGGCTTGTGCTACGTCTTATAATACACAGCAGGACCAATTCGTTTTTCTTGAATATATATTTGTATAGAATATGGCGGCAAACAAGCAGAAGGGTCATGATGGTAAGTAATCGCAACACCAGAGGAGTAACGAGTGCGTTGCCGGTTTTGGAGGTTAGGGATTTGAGGATTGGGAGATTTGGGGATTGGGAATGGGGGGGGGGAGGATTAAGTCGGTGATAACCTCACTCAAACTCCGGTAAACCCCAATAAATTCGTTGCTTTAAACAGACAATAAACCTTTAGCGAATTATATGTGGTATTTATATTTGACATGAGATTTGACGTAGCTACTCACGTAATTCCATTGTAAACTGTAAAGACAACATAGTCCATCATATTCTATTATTATAATATGTTAACTTATACGACACAACACAACCTACTCTTTTCTGTCAAATTTATTTATTAATATTTTATCTCTATCGTTTTGATATAAAATCGAAAATCCAATGACAAACATTGGAGTATGATTATGTGCTGGCCACTGTGCTAAACTTAAGCTGTTGTAAAAAGACTAGGCTAACCAATTTCATGCCCATACTTCTGAAGCCTAACACAAAATTTTATGTCAATTACTTTGTGTTTACTTTTGAAATGTCAGTCAGAATAGTTTTACAAGAACTACATGTTGAAATGTCAGTCAGAGTAGTTTTACAATAAATACGTATGTCAAGATGAATGGCGTTAAAAGTTTATTTTTGTTTTAGTAAATTCGTTGTTCGATTACATGTAATTTACATAACAAAATGCTGTTACTATAAGTTAGAACTGTATAATAAAATTGTGGAACGATGAAAGATTTCTTAAAAATGTATTTGAATTAATGAGTTGTCAAATACCAAACACCATGAAAAATTGTTTAGATTCGACCTACTACATGAATACTAAAAATATCAAAAACTACAAAAAGTAATGATCTATATAAACTAAGGCACTGAGATACACATCGCCTACTTTGAAACTGCAGGTAGGGTGGGTGAAGCTCATATTACATAAAATCTATAGACAGTAAAGTTTTTTAGAGTGTTTTCTGATCCATTTGGAGAAGAAACTGGTGTTCGTGTATACTACAATGCTATTGCTAAGATAGGGCATCTTGAAGGAGACAATCCCGATTTGGATATAGCCCCGCAGTACCAAGGCACTGCCGGAGTCACCGCTGAAACCAAAGTAAAAAAATATTAAATACCTCGACGTCTCAACCGCAATGATACCATGATCTCACAATAGGCCTCACAGAAAACAGATATGAAACAATGTGTGTTTCACCGTATTAGCGTGACTAGAGGCTTTATTCTCCCCCTCTATCCCCAATCCCGATCCAACATTTGGATTTACAAATCACGATATCCCTAATCTCCGGATATTACACCCAAGCCACCGCAGGAGACAATCTAGAAGTCGGATATCTGGCCAACGTACGGGCTTGTGGATGGCGAGTAAGGGTAGCTCACTGCCCCACCAAAACCAGACCCGGGCGTACAGCGTGCCACGTTTCGCGTTTGCCTCAAAGAGCTATTAGCCTACTTCACATGAAGAGCTTATGTCCTAGTGGGCAACCGGTCAACCATGGTTACGCAACTGCCCAACTCAGGAAAACAACAAGGGTTATTGGGGCCCTGGCTCGATGCAGGAGTTGAAATGGGATTTCATTCAGTCAGAGTTTGATACTTCGTGTCAGCTCACCCAGGGCGGGAGGAGTTATATTTTTTTTTTTGTTAAGTAATGTAATCAATTGGAATTATGCGAAAAAACATTTGAAAAGTAAGAATTTGGGATTTTTTTATTATAAATCATCATTCTTTTATGTTATAGTATAGCTCACCATGCAGCATATTTGGTTTTCGTTTTGCTTTCTGCACAAAAGGATCCTTCTTCAATAGTTTCCAAATATTCGCTGCACGTGGTCTTGCCTACAACATATTGATCGATGGCATAAAGGTACTTCGTTGTTCGTTTTGGTTTGTAATCCTGAAATAAAATTTGTCAATTGGGTAAGCCATGCCGCGACACGAATGACCTGGCTCGACCGAAGTGATACCAGAGTCTCTAGGGAGTTTGCATTGTGTGCTAAGGCCGAGTCCAATTTTATTCGAGATTCAACGCTTTTATTTATCTTTATTATTGCTATCGTTGTTCTTATAAAAATATGTCCCTTAATTTTGTGTTTTTGCCCGTAGTCCTCGTGTAACGGTGGTAAAGCAACCAGGGACAAGTTCTATAAAATATTATTGGTAGAAAATATAAAACTATATTAGCTTAGTGGTCTTCTAGCAACAGTCGCAATTTGGCAGCAAATTCAGTACTGAAAATAACACTCACCTGTATTAACCCCCAGCCCACCACCTGCGCTTCCTCGTGTTTGGGCGATTTTTTTGTTATTGCCACTCGCTTAATGAATTCACTTAAAGGCATTTGAGTAGTAAGACGCAATAATGCAATGTCGTAGCCCGTTCCCACATCATAGTATTTTTTATGATAATACAAGGCCTTTATAGTAGAATGGAATCCTTCGTGTAAAGTGTTAGTACCAGCGGTTACTGAATAAATACTTTCCGTAAAGATGCAGCTATCGATGCAGTGCGCTGCAGTCAATGCTATTCGATCATTAAGGACAGACGCTCCACAAAGGTACATACTTTTTTTAATTGAAACGTCATTGCACACGACATACAGAGCCATCGCATGAGGGAAATCTGTAATTTTAGCCCTAAAACCACCAACTATCAATGGTTTCTTCATATAACATTTAATATGGCGTATTAAACTTAGCACAAACAAATAGTATAATATCATAATGTTTTACTTTATACATCCAATACACACACCATGTAGACTTAGTTTAATACAAGTAGTGAATTGTTATCAATTATAGATCGTTAAGTGTATTTTGCCTTTAAACTTCTTAATTCATTTTCTGGCAATCATACCGTTTTATGACAGTTTTATGGAGAATATAATTTGTAATTGAATTACCTCGTTACAGTACTGGTATTAGGTAACTCCAGCACGACATTAAATAGTTATCACTACTCAAATAATGCCCATATTTACAATTTTTTAAGTTTTTTTTTTATAACTACTATTGTGGCTCCGAGCCAGATCAAGGCGCCCGTCTATAAAGTAATAGGATGCCCGATGCAGGCTGGAACCCGGCAAGTACCAATGTGACTTCTTTCGAATTATATGTACTTTCTATGATGACTTAGAAGTAATCATAGAAAGATGACTAACCACTGACGAAATATGAAAGAAAACATCATGAGGAAACCGAGACTTACAATTTCTATTAATAACTTTGAAATCGGCAATCCGCGATGCGCATTTTAAAATGTCGAGGAGCTGGATCATCACACATTTTGTAATACTACACACAGGTAAAGAAAATGTTTTTTTATTATCCAAATTGACGGACAGACACGTTTAAAGCTTACAAGGTACCGAACCCTAACATGACCTTAAAGGGCCAATATTTAATGAGAAAGCCCTTTAACCCTGACGAAGCTGAAATACCCTAATAAAATAACCATTAACGATCTCTGAAAATGGAACAATTTCGAAGATTTGGGTGCAATTATGTTATGCAGCCTTAGGAACAACATGATAGATGATTTTAATCATGTTGTGTCAGGGCCGTATTATCCCTAAAGCAAACTAGGGAAGTGCCTGGCCTAGGGCGCCAGGTTACAGAAGAGCACTTCGACGTTGCGAGACGTGTGTATCCATTTTTTTTATAGAGGGAACATCATCGAATGACTTCTCCCGCTTGGATGAGGCGGGAGGGAGTGTCAGATCCTTACTTACTAAAAACCACCCCGTTCCTACTCTTGCCCATCGAGCTGGAGCCCCAGCAACCCGTTAAGTCCTCCGCGGCTCCGTATCGCCATCAGCCCTATTGGGCCCCATCTATGGTAGTCTGATGGCTCTTACGCATGTAACCATGGATTGGCGACGTCGCCAAAAAAAATATGGGCGCGAATGATGTGTTTGCGGACACTTTTTAGTTTGAATCCGCCTGTGTTGGGTAGATTCTGGTATGTTTCCTTGATTGACGGAAATATTATTGCGTATTTCTCCATACATCAAAATTATTTGATAAGTTCAATGACTTTAGTTCCTCACCCATTGGGTACAACAGAGATTTGTTTTTAGATTTCGATGAAATTGATGTATGGTATTAGGTCTATTATATTACAAAAGTAAATATAAGTGTTTCTAATAACATTTAAAGTTCTGCAATACCACATTAAAGATTATAAGTTATTGCAATTGTCAAGTTCGATAGCTTCCTTAAAAGTACAAGTCAACAGAAAAATACTAAAAAATAACACCAGCTTTACATAATTAGGGTATTCTGACATTTATTTTAATAAAAATAAGCATCAATATCCACTGTCATGCATCAACTGAGGTTAGTGACCTTTAACTATAGAAATAAATGACAAACGGTTGAATCTGTGAGCTGCCGCCATGTTTAACTTACACATTTGAAGACATTGTATGCTTACTTAATGAAGTATCCATATTTATAATATTTAAATGTCAAATTAGATCCTCACTGAGACTTGGTGACGTGATGTTATGGTTCGAGATGTTTATCAGATTTAAATGTTTATTTTGACTATAGACAGAAATAAAATAAAGTTTATATTCGAAGGTACTACTAGGTTTGCTAGAGAATAATAGTACCTTCGAAGAGTTAAGTGTGGGAGAGCCATGCCTCGGTATGAATGGGCCGGCTCGATCGGAGTGATACCACGGTCTCGCAGAAAACCGACGTGAAACAACGCTTGCGTTGTGTTTCGTCGTATGAGTGAGGTTACCGGAGGCCCAATATTAGCCACCTCTCCTGCCCAGTCTCCCTAATCTCCGAATCTTCCACAATCCTCACATTGGTAATTTCCAAAAGGTCAGTAACGCACTTGTAACGCCTCTGGTGTTTCAGGTGTCCATGGGCGGCCCCGATTGTTTACCATCAGGTGATCTTCTCGCTTACCATACCACTTATATGCCATAAAAAAAATGTTTGACCGAAGCACTACAACACACTGTACAAACGTTGATTGTCGTCGTCATTACATGTTATAATTGACTTTCAGCCGATTACACACCCACACTTCATCATTATGAAATACTACATCCTTAGAAATATAGAAAACGTATTTATTAATTTTCTTAAACAATTTTCTTAAACCGATTGACGTCATATTACATCTTAATGTTAAAATACTATAAGCTGTCGTGAGACATGAAGTAGTTATAATAATAAGAAATAATTTAATAGGTTTATTGTATCATAAATAGACTTTTTACGTAGTTTTCTATTTATGTATATATATCTACAGTCCTATACGATATGTAAACTTTTATTTTGTAGCGATAAGTGCTAACCTACTTAAAGCAGGCTTCAAGTAAAACTATACAGTGCACCTGTACAGTTACACTGCACAGTTAAATCGTAAGTTGTATAATCTATTCTTATAAAATAACACGTCCTGATCTGACTGATGCGCCGAGCGCAAACTATCAAAGCTACAAACATGGACCAATCACTTTATTACTTTATAATAAGTTTTTAAAAATTACATCCCTTTGAGGTCAAAATAGGCGATGGTAATAATATGTATGAAAGTCCGTCATTTTGAGAGTAAAATTAACAAAGTTTTGTATTTCAGTTATTGACATAAAACAAATAAATAATTAATGTTTTAGAAACTGGAAATTTGTCTTAATAAGGGATGGAATAGGGGTTGAAAGTTTGTATGGAACTTCCACGCGAGTGAAGCTGGCAACATCTAGTAATATTAATAGGTATTGTGGATATAGATTATGATGAGATGGATATAGTGGCAGCCATCGCACCAACCGTGCAGTCGATTATTACAATATTTTCTGAAAATTATAATATTTTACCGATACTTGACTAAACTATAAACATAATTCATGTCACCCCCGAAGAGGTAGGCAGAGGTGCACATTACGGCACTAAATGCCACTGTACAATGTAACACCCACTTTTCATTATTTGTGTTATGAGTCCCATGTAATAGGGGATGAGCCCATTGCCATACACCGGGCAGAATTCCCGACTACGTGCTACTACTGAGATTTAAAAAAAATCCCGTGGTACTTTGCCCAACCCGGGAATCGAACCCGAGACCCCTTGTCCGGTAGTCGCACTTGCGACAACTCGGCCAATGAGCTTACTAGCACAAAACTTTTACTATTTATTTAATTGCTTGATTATGTCATTGGTAAAGTAGGGTTATGTGTTTAGCCTCATTGTAACAGTTGTCATGTTTTATATTGACTTGTCAATGATTCAGGTACTGATTGTCATATTATCATATGTTTGTTCACCAGTTATAAAGGTTTCAGGGTCTGAAAATAATTGATTATTTTTGTAAATAGTGAAGCTTCTAAAATGTCCCTAATTTAAATATTAGTCTTTGATTATAGTCGTTTGCTTTACATGGGTACGTAATTTCAAATTTTTAGGCATTCATTTAGTGCCTCTATCTTATTCGATTCCTAATAGAATCCAGAATCAGTAAACTAAAAATATCGTCATACGAGTGAGGTTACCGGAGGTCTAATTACAATATATCCCTCGCTAATATCACTAATCCCTAAATCCCAAACAATCCTAATTCCAAATCCCCAAAAGGCCGATAACGCACATGTAACGCATCTGGTGTTCTGGGTGTCCATAGGCGACGCCGATTGCTCACCATCAGGTGATCCGTCTACTGGTATACCGGCTGATCCCATAAAAACTAAAACAAGATCTATAAAATAAAACACGTGCTTTGACACGTGGAAAAGTACAAGCAAAAAATATTGATGAACAATCTGAAAAGAGCCAAGTAATAGCTTAGTACCGATTTATTACAAAAACGTGGGAACAGAACTAAATAGCTGATATTGTAGTCAAATAGTTTTTGTCTTCATGCCTTGTCATGCGACACTGTTTACGATGTTTTTTAGTAAAAGGAGATTAGGTATCAAAGAGTTTAGAGTTAAAAATCTGTTTTATGTTTACACTCAAGTGACCAAGCATTGAACGTAACACATAGCTGCTTTTTATCCCCAAAGGGATGTTTTTTTGTGTCGTGAAAATCATCCAATAACTTCTCCCGCCTTGGCTTAGGCGAGAGGGAGTGTCAAAATCTTACTAACTAAATACCACCCCGCTCCTACTTCTGCTCTTCAATCCAAAGCCCCCGCAACCCGTTAGGCCTTCCCGTATCGGACATTAGCCATACTGGGCCCCATCTGTGATGGTCTGATGGCTCTTTAAAGCGCGCGCGGAACGCGACGCGCCGTATATACGCATGGGTATAGTTCTGGTCTGGCGACGAGCTACCCTTGTCACCATTTGCAGACCCGCACTTACGGTGGCCGGAGATCGTCTCGCAGTCTCCGATGCTCGGAGTGCCCGGACTCTTTGCGGCCGGCTCCGAATCGCGACACGATCTCCGGCCACCTGACGGACGTCCACTGCCGAACATATGCCTCCCCCAATGACCTTTGCATGTGCTGCCCTTTATTAAACAAAAAAAAAATTTAGTTATCATGAAAATCGAGAAAAGCTCTACTAGTTTAGAACCACAGAGGGGTTCTTCCTCATGAGCAGC